TAAAACGATCGTGTGAAAGTCCATCGGTTATGGTTAACAACTAATTATGTAGTGATCGGTATTAAGCTCATGCATTCATCTATTAGGACTGTCATTTCAGCTCCATACTTATCCATTCGTCCATTATGACTGTAATTTCAGCTTAATACCATCCTCACCGGGAAGTAAATCGACTTTCTTGCTCATCAACACATACCCGGTATCATCAATTGATACAACACCATTTACTTTTGGATCAACTGATCGTCTAGCCAATCAAGGCTAGTACTCTATCCCTCTACTAAAGTAAAGGCACTTTCAAGTACTGTATTTCAACTTGTACTCGGTCACTATTATGTATATATTTTGACAACTAGCGTTCTATTCCAATGCGATGATTTGATTAGACGTAGTTTGATGATGATGATACGAACAATTGATTCTCATAACATTATCCATACATACGTTTTCTCCATTCGCTATCCAATTGGACAACTTGATCGACAAGGGAGACATCCTTAAAGCGTTTTCGCTGGCATTGACGAATGGATTCAGGGTTGCCTCCTTTATCTTCTCGAAATAAGTCAAGATCAAGAACCATTTTGCTTTTCAGCCAAATCGTGGCAGCAGACTGCGCTAGTAGACGATGGAGTGGTCGAACAAGGGGTTTAATATTGATCGTGGGGTGTAGCGTGGCAGGTTCGATCACTGTTTCATACTGGTGTTGGAGTTCTATTCGGCAGTATCAGCTCGAGCGTAAAGATGGTTAGTCTATAGAGACTGGCATACGTATACGACTACTGTAGGTCATGACGTTTTACAGTCATACTCAGGCAAGTAGACAAACTAAAATGATTTCTTGAATAAATGAGTATCAGAGTAAAGCAGAAATAATGTCACCTGTATGTTGGCCACTATCATGGACTACAGTTTTACCAGCAACTACTACTCAAGTAAAAAGTAAGATGGTTACCTTGTAACTCCATTAAATTTAATCTGGATTACAAGGTTAGAATAGGATTGTTCTGAAGTTGTGCTTCAAAGTAATAGAGTTGCTAGAGTAGTCTCACTGGTTCTACAGTCCTACAGTAAATAATGAACTAGCACCTTCCATTTGCATACGCACTTCCACTTACTGCAATGTACAGTATGTACAAGTGAGTACAACTAGGTAACGAGTCATGACGTTTTACAGTCATACTCAGGCAAGTAGACAAACTAAAATGATTTCTTAAATAGACCAGTATAATAGCAAAGCAGAAATAGCGTCACCTCCATGTTGGCCACTATGATGGACTACAGTTTTACCAGCAACTACTGCTCAAGTAAAAAGTAAAATGGTTACCTTGTAACTCCGTTAAACTTAATCTGGATTACAAGGTTAGAATAGGGTTGTTGTAAAGTTGTGTTTCAAAGTAATAGTGTTGCTAGAGTAGTCATTGGTTTTGTACATTGAATATAATGTACAACCAGGTCAGGAGTCAGGACGTTTACAGTCATACTGAGACAAGTAGACAACCTAAAATGATTCCTTGAATAGACCAGTATAATAGTAAAGCAGAAATAATGTCACATTTATGTTAGCTACTATCATCGACTATAGTTTTACCAGCAACTACTACTCCAGTAAAAAGTAAGATGGTTACCTTGTAACTCCTTTAAACTTAATCTGGATTAAAAGGTTAGAATAGGGTTGTTCTAAAGTTGTGTTTCAAAGTAATAGTGCTGCTAGAGTAGTCATTGGTTTTGTACATTGAATATACTGTACAACCAGGTCAGGCGTAGGACATTTACGGTCATACTGAGACAAGTAGACAAGCTAAAATGATTCCTTTTATAGTCGAGTATGACAATAAAGCAGAAACAATGTCACCTCTGTTTTGGCCACTTTCATGGACAACAGCTCTACCAAACGACTCACTCATACTAAGGCAAGTCGACAAAGTAAAATGATTTAACTTAACAGGCGAGTATGAGAATAAAGCAGAAATAATGTCACCTCTTTGTTGGCCACTATGATGGGCTACAGCTCTACCAACGACTGCTCAAGTAAAAAGTAAGATGGTTTACTTTGTAACTGCTTTAAACTTAATCTAGATTGCAACATTAGTTTAGGGCTGTTCTAAAGTTGTGTTTGTAGTGTTGCTAGAGTAGTCGCTGGTTCTACTTTCCTTGCAGAACTGTACATAAGGATATCCATATCCACCCCTCCCCCCAAAGAGGACATATTCTTCTTATTAAAAGTCGCTGCGAGTAGATATTCTTGTCGGACGGACAGACTTTTCCAAACTCAATCAGGCCGAAAATATGGAAAAATGATTTACCATTATTTACTTACACTGTAGATCTTCTGTGTCTATTTGTCTGAATCACTTTCACTCATTTAAAATCATTGATGATGTTGTAGAACTACTTTGAAGTGTAACTTGTTAAACAAGACAACGATTTAATAGAATATTATTAAAAGTCGCTGTGACTAGACATTCTTGTTGGACGGACAGACTTTTCCAAACTCAATCAGGCCGAAAATATGGTTTACGATTATTTAATTACACTGTAGATCTTCTGTGTCTATTTATCTGAATCACTTTCACTCATTTAAAATTATTGACGACGTTGTAGAACTACTTTGAAGTGTAACTTGTTAAACAAGACAACGATTTAATAGAATATTATTAAAAGTCGCTGTGACTAGACATTCTTGTTGGACGGACAGACTTTTCCAAACTTAATCAGGCCGAAAATATGATTTACGATTATTTAATTACACTGTAGATCTTCTGTGTCTATTTATCTGAATCACTTTCACTCATTTAAAATCATTGACGATGTTGTAAAACTACTTTGAAGTGCAACTCGTTAAACTAGACAACGATTTAATAGAATATTATTAAAAGTCGCTGTGACTAGACATTCTTGTTGGACGGACAGACTTTTCCAAACTCAATCAGGCCGAAAATATGGAAAAATGATTTACCATTATTTACTTACACTGTAGATCTTCTGTGTCTATTTGTCTGAATCACTTTCACTCATTTAAAATCATTGACGACGTTGTAGAACTACTTTGAAGTGTAACTTGTTAAACAAGACAACGATTTAATAGAATATTATTAAAAGTCGCTGTGACTAGACATTCTTGTTGGACGGACAGACTTTTCCAAACTCAATCAGGCCGAAAATATGGAAAAATGATTTACCATTATTTACTTACATTGTAGATCTTCTGTGTCTATTTGTCTGAATCACTTTCACTCATTTAAAATCATTGACGACGTTGTAGAACTACTTTGAAGTGTAACTTGTTAAACTAGACAACGATTTAATAGAATATTATTAAAAGTCGCTGTGACTAGACATTCTTGTTGGACGGACAGACTTTTCCAAACTCAATCAGGCCGAANATATGATTTACGATTATTTAATTACACTGTAGATCTTCTGTGTCTATCTATCTGAATCACTTTCACTCATTTAAAATCATTGACGATGTTGTAAAACTACTTTGAAGTGTAACTTGCTAAACTAGACAACGATTTAATAGAATATTACTTCATTTAGAAATAGAAGTCCATGACACAAATCGCCAGCCTACTTAACCCTTTCATCATCACAACTTGTTTCAAGTGTCCCATTGAGTACTATAGTTTCTCTTGAAGAAGTTATCCTTGATTGCAACCATAGGGTAGATCGTTAATCTACGAGTAGACTTGTCACGGTACTGTACTGTACCGGTACCGTAGACGAAGGTGGAAGACAGACTTGCAGTAGTCTGATCGGTGGATCATCACCATAGGAACAGTGTTGTCTTGTCCATGGTTGGAAAGGAAGCAATGGCTTACTCTTGGCCAGACATTTCTCATTATGGGTAACCTGTAGCATGGTAAGATATAATTCCATCTCTAGGTAGATGCTTTAGCTGACCAGAGCAAGAAATGACGTCGATGATAGCTAATAGGGCTAACAAACCGACAATAGACAGAGAAACCGAAAATAAATGCAACAAGGTTGACGAAGCTGCAAGCAAACAAGATGAAAAGATAACGTTAGCAAGCCCATCCTGGTTGGAAAAGACTGCTAATAGTTATAGAGCTTCACTACACAACGAACAATTGGGACATAACCCTCGAATAGATAGCATAAAGTTAATGCAAGTTACAAGCGAACAAGATGAAGCGATAGCATTAGTAATCCCGTCCATTTTGGAAAGGACTACTAACCATGTCCAAGGTTCGCCATCCAGCAACCTATCAAAAGAGGAACCAGAAATAGATTGGACAAATTTGATGCAAGCTGTAAGCAAACATGATGAAAAGATAACATTAGTAACCCCATCCTGGTTAGAAAGGACGGCTAACAATTCCGCCGATTTGCCACCGAATGAACAATCAGAAGAGAAAGCTGAAATAAATGAGATCGGGTTGATGCAAGATGCTAGGAAAGAAGAAGATAAAATGATAACATTGGGACCTCCATCCTGGTTGAGAAAGAAGACTACTAACCATTCCAGAGGTTCACCACAGACCGAACAATCCAAGGAGAAACCTGAAATGAATGCGACAAAGTTTATAAATGCTACAAGCAAGCAAGATACAGTGATAACATCAGAGATAAAAAGGGCCGCTAACAATTCTGAAGGTTCGCAACCAACCGAAAAATCAAAAGAGAAACCCTATATAAATGCGGTTTATTTTACGGGACCTGCAAGGAAAGAAGATAAAACGATAACATCAGGACCTCCATCCCGATGGAGAAAGAAGACTGCCAACAATTCCAAAGGTTGGTCACGGATCAAACAATCAAAAGAAAAACCTTAACGTACTACGACAAAGTGGATGGATTTTGCAAGCAAGCAAGATCAAGAGAGAACATTAGAACCTCCGTCCTCGTCGAAAAAGAAGACTGCTAACACTTCCGAAGGTTGTTCACGAATCAGACAATCAAAAGAGAAGCCTGAAAATAATGCAACAAGGTTTATGGTTACTGACAGCAAATAAAACCTCCATCCTGGTCGAGAACGAAAACTGCTAACAATTCTAGAGGTTGGTCACGGACCAAATAATCAAATGAAAAGCTTGAAAGTAAGGCGACTGAGTTTACGAAAGCTGTAAGCAAACAAGATAAAAAAATAACCCCTAAAAAAAGACGCACCTCCGTCGTGGTTGAGAAAGACTGATAACAATTCCGAAGTTTCATCACGGACCAAACAATCTAAAGCGAAGGATAAAAGAAATGCAACAATGTCTGTGGAAGCTGCATGCAAGCAACACCAAGAGATATCATTAGGACCTTTATCTTTGTTGAGAAGACTGCTAATAATTCAGGTGGTTCGCCTTGGACCAAACCATCAAAAGATCTCCATTCCAAAGACTAATGGCTAGGGATC